TCACAAGCTGAGGAACAACTTCAATGAAGAAAGCATACCGATCTGAACAAGAGAAAATGGAGTTTCGAAGCTCACAACAAATCTGACGGGTTGACAGAAAAATAATAACCAGTCATTCATCATACCTGAGTTTCTTGAGTTATACAGCTCCGAGGGATCTCAAATTTGGATATGTTGTAGTTCACAAGCTGAGGAACAACTTCAATGAAGAAAGCATACCGATCTGAACAAGAGAAAATGGAGTTTCGAAGCTCACAACAAATCTGACGGGTTGACAGAAAAGAAAAATAATAACCAGTCATTCATCATACCTGAGTTTCTTGAGTTTATACAGCTCCGAGGGATCTCAAATTTGGATATGTTGTAGTTCACAAGCTGAGGAACAACTTCAATGAAGAAAGCATGCTGATCTGAGCAAGAGAAAATAGAGTTTCAAAGCTCACAACTAATCTGACGGGTTGACAGACAAATGATAAACAGTCACTCATCATACCTGGATTTCTGGAGTTGTACTGCTCCGATGGCTCTCCAATTTGGATATGTTGTAGTTAAGGAATTAACGAACAACTTTCATGAAGACAACTTTGTGATTCGACCTACAGATGATGGTGTTATGTTGAAAAACAATTCCGGTTGTTAGGGGAAATGAAAAACAATTCCACCAAAGAAACATCATTATGATGTTTCATCATTATGGTGTTTTCATCATTATGATGCTTTCATCATTGTGATGCTTCCATCATTGTGATGCTTCCATTATGATGTTAATGCACCAACGGTTACACCTTCTGCAATTCCACTTATTCGGGCCTAGCAACCTTCATCAACAAAATCTATGAAGAAAAAGTCCGGGGCTACCACTTAGAAAACAAAAGAATGAAGTTTTGGTACTTACGACATGGACTATTAGCAAGACACCTCATTCGTCAACTCCCTCGACTAGAGACTTGGGGGACTCCCACCATATGCTACTACGCCTTGGTACTCAAAAGTTCGTGACTACTCAGTGACTTGGATTTTTCAAGTCTCCAACCGAGAAGTTTTCCTCACTCGGGAAATTAAGGGAACACTACCTCAAACTACATGCTTCACTCACAAAGCTTCAACAATACAGGTTTCAACAAAAGCAAAAATTCAAAGAACTTTATGAAGAAGGCTTTGGTGTATTTAACACAATATGTTGAAAATGAAGCAAAGCTTATTTATTAATATTTTCGATAAGCCACAAATATGTACATATACATGAGTCAAAATAAACAAACAAAAGGGAGCCTTCACAAAGGTTGCTTAGGGGAAGTCTCAGCAGTCGGTAGAGCCCCAGAAAGAGAAAGCACCGGAGGGTGGTTATCCGGAGCCTCAGTACTTGACAAAACCCCAGAAGGAGGAGGCATTGGAGGTTCATCATTTGAAGCTTCATTACCAGGTACAGCCCCAGAGGACGAAGGCAATAAATGCCTTTGGAACAAACCCACAAACCGCTGATGATCAAGTAAAACCTTACCATCAGATTCCTTCATCTGGTCAAGCTTCCTCTTCATGTTTGTAGCATAGTCATGGGCGAGCCGGTGCAACTGCTTATTCTCATGCTTGAGCCCTCTAATCTCCTGTTTGAGACTCATCACTTCAGCAGCCAATGATTCAACTTGGCGGGTTCTAGCAAATAGGCGTTGGGCCATATTAGACACAGAACCTGCACACTGAACACTAAGAGCCAGAGAGTCCTTAACAGCCAACTCATCAGACCGTTTGGAAAAGTAGTCTGTTATCTTTGGGAGTGAGAAGGTTCCTGGCCACCACTGCAGCGGTCATATCATTCTTCATCACAGAATCCCCAACGGTAAGAGGACCAGTAGGGGATATGAAGGATGGGCGCCATATGTTGTCTGGAGAAGGCGTGGCTGTCTCTTCTCCAAGGTTCAAGTCAAAACGACGGTCGGAGGGTCCAGACATTTTCAAATGTGTTGAAGAAGGAAGAGGTCAGACAAATCAAGATCTTAGAAGTGCAAGAAATGAGCTTCTACTGGTAGAGATTCAAGTGTGCTGTGGAACTTAATGCCAGCCTCTATAAAAATCTGCACTCGACGGAGCTTCAGAAATCGAAGAGGCGTTTGCTTTCTCAAAAGCTGGGCTGCTCAGAGACCACGAGGGCCGATCTCAGAAATCGAAGAGGCGAATGCTTTCTCAAAAGCTGGGCTGCTCAGAGACCACGAGGGCCGATCTCAGAAATCGAAGAAGCACCTGCTTTTGCAGCCTCGTCAGCACCTGTCACATGCACAATCAGCTTTGCGGAAATTACGGGCAATCTGTCGAAGATTTCTGGTGAAGTAGAAAGCACGTGAATCTTACTGATCAATCACCGCTCTCCATATGCACCATCAACTCCTCGGGTACCACATATAACTTTGTCAAAGATCTCTGACAAAGTTTAGGCAGCACGAGAATTTCGAAGTGCCAGCTACCCTACTATTACCCATAAGGGTAAAGGAACAGCACCACTGCTTGACAACTGGAAAGTCCCTATGTGTGTCGACCTCCGTGTTTTGTGGCAAGACAGGTTGGCAAGAACGACCAACCTTTATTCACATTCGAGAAAAGACTCCCAACATAATTACTTTCTCAAAAACCGGAGTAGCACCGCTTTCCGAATCTCGAGAGTCAGATCTTCGACGGGATTGCTTGTTCGAAAACCGAAGAGGCACAACTCTCAGAACTTCGAGAGCCAGATTTCCTTAGATAAAGCTTGTCTGTAATCTCCACACGTAATATCAGCTTTCCAGATACCACATACCACTTTTTCAAAGTGCTCTGACAAAATTAAAACACGTGAAGCTGGCAGCTCCCACTACATTGCTGTGACCAAGAAGGGTAAAGGAATAGCATTACTACTTGTTATTGGGAAATCCCTATATACATTGACCTCCCTCCTCAACGGACAGGCAAACCTGCAAAAATGCTCAACCCTTTCTCGCATTCGAAAAGGCACCCTCAACATAATCTCTCGAAATACTCAGCTTTATTTCCCCCCGATAATACCTCAGCAAATAAGCCACACCAAGAACAAGAGTATCTCATATCATCAGGGTCGAAAGCAAGAGTATCCCATATCATGCTTTCTCCCTGTCTTTGTCTTTGTCCTTGTCCACACCTGCAAGACAAGGAGAAAGAGAGCAGTCAGTCGGAACCTGAAATCAAACCTCCAATTTGGAACTGACTGCCTGGAGCCTTTTGCCTGGTTGCTTACTTAGCATTGCTCTCGAGTACTCATCCTCAACTGCTGTCAAGGTCACGAATTCCACCGGCAAATACCTCATGACAGTTGATCAGATATTGGCTCTTTACACTGAAGCTGCCAAGCGTGGATGAGTCACTATGAAGGAATGTTCTGAAGGACCATTTAAATGCAAAGGTTGCACACCACTTCTGCCATGCAAAAGATTGAAGCAGAAGGTTCAACGGTGAGCTGAAACAGATCACTACAGCACGACACCTTTCCATACCACATTCATTATTCCGTCAACAGCAAAAGTATCCCATATCATCAAGGTCGAACGTACTCTAGATTTGATGGACTTGTTTTTGACCCTCAAATTTTTGAGTCGGCCTTATACTCTGAAGGGCACCAGAAACCCCTCCAACACAGTTCAAGAATAAGCCTGTGGAAAGTTACTTCTTCAAAAGCAAAAGTATCTCATATCATCTCTTATCCATTTGCTTCTCCTTATCCTGGCAGTTGAATGAGAGACAAGGAGAAGGAGAACAATCAACCGGAAGCCGAAGTCAAACCTCTGATCCTGGGTTGCTTACTTGGAAGTTTGACTGCTTACCTTGTCTGTCACCTCTTTCGGCAGATCTCCTAGCTCGGCGACTTGGGGGACTCCTACTATAGGGTTTGTATCACACTTGACTAAGCCCGAAACTACAACTAAGCTTCAAGTGAAATTGATACATTACCTTGTGCGTCAACATCAGCTAAGTACACCATTCCCGGATGGAGGAAAGGTACTTCCAGAGAAGGGCAGATGAAGATCAGACCACACTTCGGTACTTAGAAGTTTCGTGATTACTCAAGGGATTGGATCTTGCAAGTCCCCAACCGAGGAGTTTCCCTCACTCGGGAACTTAGGGGAGCACTGTTTGTACCATACTTGACCAATCCCGAAACTACCGAGCATCGGCCAACGCTATACTGTCAAGGACCCAGAAGAGTTCCCTCCGACCAGGAGGCCAATCACTACTCGACACGTGTCAAGATTAGAAGCCAATCAGAGCGCAGCACGTGTCGACATCAAGAACCAATCACAACATGACACATGTCAATGTGACAAAGCTACAAGTTTTTCTATAAATAGGGGTCATTCCCCCACAATATTGCCTAATGCCATTTTGTGTTAAATCATTCACAAGAACTCACTAAATTGAGAGCTTGATCCTTTGTACTTGTGTAAGCCCTTCACTACTAATAAGAACTCCTCTACTCCGTGGACGTAGCCAATCTGGGTGAACCACGTACATCCTGTGTTTGCTTCTCTGTCTCTATTCATTTACGTACTTATCCTCACTAGTGACCGAAGCAACCAAGCGAAGGTCACAAAACCTGACACTTTCTGTTGTACCAAAGTCTTCGCTGATTTTGTGCATCAACAGTTAGAATTATCTCAGTATCAAAGAAGTGATTCTGTATAAGCTGGATGGAGGCATATACCAATGAGATTCTTTAGAGTTTCTTTACAGCAATGCTTATCTGTTAACTCATTTTGTCGTCAGATTCATCGTGCCACCTATTTCAAGTAAATTTCTTGGGTCTAGTTGTACACCACTTTGTATCTAGTAGTTTTTTCATCTATGTTGTATGGTAAAGTTTCCTTGAATTCTTGTCCATTAAGATATTGAACGACTTGATGAAATGAAATTACAAGACTATCCACTGCAGTTATATTTAGCTCATGCATAGTTGCACGGAAATTTTCATGTACAAGTTGTGATCTGTTTATATATGGCAGGCCATTATTTGCAAGTAGCGTGCTTAGCATTGTACAGATTCTACTTGATCAAACACGACATGATGAAATACGTCTTTTAGGATGCGAAACTCTTTTTGAGTTTGTAAATAATCAGGTGCGAGTCGTCGGGATGTTCTTTCTCTTTCAGATTGTCGTTTGTTTGTTTCTGTTTTTGGTGATTGGGCTTAACTTTCTTTTGAAGCTGCAGGCTTTTCTCCTATGGAAGTTTTTTTATCTCATGTAGCTGTTTCGATATTGCAGAAGGATGGTACGTATATGTTTAACTTAGATGGCATGATTCCAAAACTTTGTCTCTTAGCTCAAGAAACGAGGGAGGATGGGATGGATAAGCGTTTGCGTTCTGCTGGGCTTCAAGTTCTTTCATCAATGGTAATTCATCCCCATTTCAATTTGTTTATTACTTCATGCTCTGATACTTGTTTCTCATAGGATATTCAATTTAGTATAATGTAGTCTGATATTCATAATTTTCACATTGTTACTTACACGTGAAAGCTTTATTAGAATTGTTATATGTCAGTGAGAAGGATAACTATTGACTCATGAAGAGCGGCACCGGATCTTTTGGGGAATTATAATCTTGTAAGAGTGACAAATTCTCTCATATGCACCCTCACAAGTGTGTTTTGTGTGCAGGTTTGGTTCATGGGTGAATTCTCTCATATTTCATCAGAATTCGATAGTGTAAGTTTATTTGGTACTATATGTCTAATTCTTATATAATTTGTTTTCACACTTTTTTCCATTGCTATTTTATCTAACTAGAAAAATTTGCTCATTTAAGTTCATAGATTCGGACAGATTTTAATTAAGTATCGTTTCAACTTGTAGCTGTTGGAAGAAAGGAAAAAACGCATACGAATCACCTTTTGATATCAACTATTGTTTACAAATTCTTGTTCTTTCTGTATTTTTTTCATGCCTGGCTTCTTCATAAACTTCTAATGGCAAATTATGGAATAGTCCAATTTCGTTCTTCAAGCTGCAAATCATTAGCTTCCAACAATCTTCTATTTTTCTTTTGTAAATCAGGTTGTTTCAGTAGTCTTGGAAAATCATGGAGGTCCAAAGAAAAAGTCAGACAAACAAGACACCCAGACTGGGAGTTCCGAAGAAGTTTCAGCTTCACTAGAACCCGTGACAAGGATTTCGTCCTGGAGGCTGTTAGTGAGTGACAGAGGCGAAGTCCTTGTGGCAGGGTAGTTTTTATTGGCACAGTATTGCGTAACTATCATTATGTATCATTCTTGCTATTTCATTATGTTATAGCTAATGTCTACATTTCTTCTTGTTTTTGTTTGCAGGGACGACATGAATAACCCCATATTTTGGTCAAGGGTTTGCCTGCACAACATTGCCAAGTTAGCCAAGGAAGCTACAACCGTGCGGCGTGTATTAGAATCTTTGTTCCGCTATTTTGATAATGGAGATCTCTGGTCTCCTAAACACGGGCTCGCACTGTCTGTCTTGATGGATATGCAGATAATAATTGAAAATTATGGTATTTAAATTTCTTCAAATTGCTTTAGAACTTGTCTATGGGAACCTGACTAGTCTTCTTTTGTGCTGAAATTAGTTGCAATCGTCCAACTGATATTTTGATGACCTGTGAACCTTTTTCTCGCAGGGCAGAACAGGCACTTCATATTGTCCATCTTAATTAAGCATCTTGATCACAAGAATGTTCTTAAAAACCCAAATATGCAGCTGGACATTGTAGATGTTGCCACCTCTCTTGCTCGAGAAGCAAAGGTTCAATCATCAGTTGCTATAATTGGTGCTCTGAGTGATATGATGAGACACCTGCGGAAAAGTATACATTGCTCACTTGATGATTCAAATTTGGGGGCCGAAGTAATTGAATGGAACCGAAAATTTCAAGCAGCAGTGGATGAGTGCCTTGTGCAGTTGATACATAAGGTGACTGTAACATCCTTTACATTTTTTTTAAAGATGGAACAAGTAGTCTCACAAGGTTTTATTGCTCGTATATTGTGCAGGTAGGAGATGCAGGTCCTGTTCTTGATATGATGGCCGTGATGTTAGAAAACATGACTAACATTACCGTTATGGCTAGAACCTTGATTTCTACTGTTTACCGTACTGGTCAAATTGTGGCAACAATACCTAATTTGACATATCAAAACAAGGCAAGAATGCATCAGCTATATCACTTCCTTCAATCTACAGTCATTAGTGCACAAACTTACCAAGTTTCCATCTGATTTTCTTTCTTTTCATTCTATGATTTGAATGTCTGAATTTCTGTAGACATTTCCTGAGGCATTATTTCATCAGTTACTCGTAGCTATGGTCTGTGTAGACCATGAAACCAGGGTGGGCGCACACCGTATATTTTCTGTCGTGCTTGTTCCCTCATCTGTTTGCCCTCGTCCATGTGCTGCTACTCCCATTACTACAGAGAAAAATAATATTGGAAGGACTCTCTCAAGAACTGTATCAGTATTTTCTTCATCAGCTGCCCTCTTTGAAAAACTAAACAAGGGATCACACTCACAACAAAACATTGGTCAGGAGCTGAAGGACAAAGTTGTAATTCAGGAAGAAGCAAAAGTTCCTAATGAGTCCATGCTGAACAGATTGAAGTCCAAATTCAGTTCAAGAAGGCATCCATCAGCTACAAGTGACCCTGTAGGTAATGAGGATGCTTCAGTCAGTAATCATTCTGTGATGAACCGGTTGAAGTCAACTTATAGCCGAGCCTACAGTATTAGAAGGAATCCATCAAATACACCTTCTGCTGATGAAAAAACTACTAGTATTTCAGATAAAGAATCGGTATGGTTTGTGGTTCTTCTATCCTGTCATATAGCGACTACATACTTTGAACACCATAATATTGCTTGATCATTTTTCTTCTGACTAATTTTGCAGACAATGTCCTTAGGTTAAGCACTCGCCAGATTACCCTTCTGCTTTCATCAATCTGGGCACAATCCATCTCTCCTTTAAATACACCTGAGAACTATGAAGCAATTGCTAATACCTACAGCCTTGTGCTGCTTTATGCTCGGACCAAGGTACAACTTCCATTTTTTCTTGCATGTTAATCGTTAAGGTCTACTACTTCCATTCTTGTTTGTCCCCAATTTTCACTTTCTTTGTTTGGATTCACTATGTCATGTAGAACACATCCGACGAGACCCTAATCCGAAGTTTTCAGCTAGCCTTTTCCTTAAGGAGCATTTCTCTTGGAGGAGGTAAGCCATCGAGTCCAATTTATTTACATAATAATTTTTCACTGCACTGCAACATACAGTTTCTTTTAAGGTTTTAACCACATAAATGCATTGCTCATGTCGTAGAGAAATGTCAAGATATAGATTGTATAAAATTTGCTTGCTCAACAACTTAAGATTTACGAATTGTGTAGAAGTTATTTCATGTTTAAGGTTCAGAAAAGCAGCTCAATTACTGGTACATTATTAACAGATGAATAAGCTGGAGATTAGTTGCAAGCTTCCTATAAGTATAACTGTAGCAATTTTTAAATCTCGGTCTAATTTCCTTTTGAAGTATGAAATTTTCAACTTTAGTTTGCGAATATATTCGTTGCACTGAAATGTAATTGACGGCTGCAAACCATTTTGGGTTGTAATTTTTCTGATGCCATCTTTAACTAGGGGATTTCATTATTGCAGGATTACAGCCATCAAGACGCAGATCCCTCTTTACCTTGGCAACATCGATGATCATCTTCTCAGCTAAAGCCTACAATGTGGTTGCTCTTGCCCCTTGTGCTAAAGCAGCACTTACAAATGAAACAGTACGTGCAACAGAGTTTCCAGACGACATTTCCATTGAATGTTGTTTGTGAACCTTTTAACTTATTTCTACTTTGACTTGAGGTTTTTGAAGTTAACCTAGCTCAATACTAACGCATATGCTTTGATGACGTGCTGTCAGGTTGATCCATTTCTACGACTGGTTGACGATCACAAGTTGCAAGCTGTCATTTCTGGACCTGACCAAGTAAGGAAAGTTTATGGATCAAAAGAAGATGATGAGAATGCTTTAAGGTCACTTTCCGCCATAGAAAAATCTGAGAACCAATCGAAGGAATCATTTGCTACCATGATAGTGCAGACGCTTAGAAATTCACCAGAGGTATGTTTTCCTATCACATTCTGATTATTGGAACTATATCTTTGTGATTCTGATTATTTCGGTGTTTTTATTACAGGATTCATCAATTATAAAACAGCAGTTGCTTAATGATTTTATGCCTGATGATGCATGTCCTTTGGGAGCTCCGTTGAGCATGGAAACACCAATAGAGATCGACCAAGTTGGCGTACAAGATGACGGAGAACCTGATAAGGTAATTTACTCGAACAACTTCCTTATTTTTTTGTAAGGTCCAAACAATTAAGCTTAAGCGTACAAAATGATTCTATTGTGCAGGCTGAGCCCCCATTATTCACAATTGAAGATGATGTGTTAGCCAATGCATCTGAAAATCAAACCGACCCAGACACAAAAGTTGCCGTGGAAAGTCTAAGCTTAATAAGCATTGACGAGCTTTTAAATTCGGTAAGTGAGGTCACTCATAAACTGTTTCTGGTTTTTGACCTTTGTAGAAATCGGACAGAAAATACGTAAATAAATGGACATTACATCAAGTTGAAAATAGTGCTAATTAAGGAAGTGATTGGTGTGTAGGTTTCGGAGACAACTCATCAAGTTGGACGATTATCAGTGTCAGTTGCGACAAACATGCCTTACATGGAAATGGCTGGCCAGTGTGAGGCCCTTCAAATGGGGAAGCAGCAGAAGTTGTCGACGTTTATAGTTGCTCAACAGAGACAAGAAAGTTTGATTAGATTTTCTAATGATTGCAACCAGCAGGAAAAGGAAACCCCCTCTCTTCTTCCGTTGGGCGCTCCTACGGTATTTCCTTTCCTTCAATCATAATCCTGACATCTAAAATTTTCCACTAATTTACCATCTGTTTTCACATTTCTTCTGTTAAATATTATTGCACTTTATGCGCATTGTGTTTTTAGCATATTCTGAGTTTCCGAAAACCATTTGGGACTGCAGAGTGGAAATCCATTCCTTGAATCAAATGCCGTTTCACTCAACCAATCTGTTGGCAACGGCTCTTCGATGCTTTGCGCAACTGAGTATCAGTACTATCCACACTTTCAGCTACCGGCATCAAGCCCCTACGATAACTTTTTAAAGGCTGCTGGCTGTTGATCTGTGTGGAGGAAGTTTGGTAGCCCTTGTAGCACGTAAGAAATCAAGTGTCAGCAGCTTTGGAGCGAGCGGCAGTTGTGTCTGCAACAACTTTGTGTTGTCCCAGATTCAACCTTGTTTTCTGTTCATGTCTCTACTGACTGCCTCCATTCATTTATTCATCAATTGTTGATTTGGGAGGTTGATGTTATGTATCTTTTGGGCACTCCCTCCCTTTACATGTTTTGATATTGTAAAGTAAGAGTTTGCTCACCCGCACATTTTTTGTCTCAACCGTTTACTCGTGAAAAAAAATGTGCAGAGATAATTTAATGTAAATTAAAAATGTGAATAGGTGACTTTCATTTCATAAACACTGGTTTTCATACTGTCATTGTGAAGTGAAAGCATGTTAATTGGTGTATAAAATTACTTAATTTCGGGTAGAAGAGGAATCACTGTAAAGACAACAGTCTACTTAACTTTTTTCTTATACGGTTGTTGGGTTATCTTAATTTTTTAGAGTTTAAGTACGAATAATTTTTTTAAGGGGTAGTTTGAAATTGGTCATAATCTTTAAAACATTCTAAATAATTATCTAATGTTTTGAAGAATTACTACTCATCTAGGTCACCAACGTTAAGTGACGATATAAACAATTACCAAATGTGGTTTTTAAGTGACGATATAAACAATTACCAAATGTGGTTTTCATTAGCACGTCATTTTATGACGCTCTAGATACCCAAATGGGCATCTTTTAGCCAAGTTGAACCCTAAAATTACTTGGCTAAAGGGGGTTAATTTGATAATTTAGAGCTCTATATATGAATGAGAGTGAAATCATGTTTATGTACTAGTCATTCTATTACTTAACGATAGCGACCTAATAATTATCTAATTTTCAAAACGTTAGAAAGTTGTTTGAAGTACTTTTAAATGTTGAGATCAATTTAAAACCACAGATAATACTTGCGTTGTATACATTCTATAATCAAAACTATCTTCATTTGAAGATTATTCCTACAAAAAAAAAATATTCGAATTGAATATCTTTTAGTTATCCAAATGTATCAAATAAATGGACGATTATCATGAATATGTTGCTTAATATACTCAACATTGATTTATTCCATCCATTTAGATGCATAAATGATCTAAGATTTGAAATGATTTTTTATAAGAATGATCTTTTAATAAAAATTAAGAAATTAAACGATTTCAATTATTTGCTTTTATACTAACAACCGATTTGGAAATTGTATTTTGATTAGAAATTTGCTTGTATACTAACCTCGCTCTGGACTTGTGCAATCTGTACACTGATTTGGTAGGAAAATCCAATAATAACCTCCAGACATCGCGATTTGTTATTTATGTTTTGTGATTTGATAAAGTCCACTCTTTGTTGATAGAAGTCTAGGAAACTAGTTTTATAATTTATTCTGTTAACTGCTAAGTTTTGGAAATTAATCTGTCGATCGGCTTCTAAACTATAAATTAGTGCATACTTAACCATTGTAAGAGCACAAAAAAATTGAGCGTGTCTTATCACAACCTTTTGTCGTAGCAGAAGTATTTACCGGAACAATCATCATCAATTTATTCAATCTACAACAAACAAATCAATACGTCAAAGCTTCCAATTGCATCCACTGGCAATCAAAAGATTCAAAAGCAATGAGGAAATTAGTCCATCGGCTGCCAACTTGGTCCATGACGTTCTTCATGCCCAGCAATTCTTCCAGCACCGGCACGTACTCGTCAGCAACATAAATCTCGATACAAGTCTCCATACACAGAACTTTGAAAGCGGGGGAAGGCCTAGAAGAATAGCAGTCCTTCTCGGCGCAACTGGTGTCGAAGACGATTTTCTCAACAAAGGATACGGAGGAGGGATGAGTGTGGAGGTGAGGGACTTGGAGCTGAGAAAGGGTTTGGGATATGCCGATCACCATGTTGTCGTAGCGGACTAGAACTGTGGCTGCGTTCACATCTACGCTCCAATTTTCTTCTTCGAACAATATATTGCCATCGTGGTGATCCATACGGGGCCGTTTGATGACGACCTTGATGGTGATTAAGAACATGGGACATGGCAACTCGGTTTCAGGTACGAAAACACCTCTTAGACGTGTGTTGCAGTAAGTTTCACCCACCACTTCCCAACGTTCACTGGCCACGGCACCAGCGCCCATGACAAACTTCGATCGCGAAATCGGGAATTAACTCGGAACAGAAAACTAAAGTGGAAAGTTGAAGAAGAAGATTAGAGCTTGTTGTTGATTATTGACTCAAACATGTAGTCAAAGTCCAAATCTTTGGGCTACTTTTGTGGTCAAAATTGTTGGATGGCATGCTACATGTGGGAAACCAAAATTGGATGCACTTATGCCTAATTCTTTTTGACTTGATGTTAGGCCTTTGGCCATTGATGTCTTTGAGAAGCTTTTTCTTTGGCTATAAAAGGAGAGCAAGGTGTAGCTCATAAGCATGGAGAAGTAGAGAAGAACAAGGAAGAGAGAAAAATAGCAAGAAGCCATTTGGCATAGAGAAGAATTTTCTCAAATTGTCTTGCTTTGTATTTTTTTGGTTTTCTCTTCCTATTGTAAGTGTGAGAGCTTGGGGTTATTTGGGTCTTTGGGAAATTGAGTGATAAACACTATTGTATGTTCTCATTGATTATAGTGGAATACTCCGTCGTCTCCAAACTGGATGTAGGCATTGCCGAACCAGTATAAATCTTGGTGTTCTTGTTGGTGTTGTTTTTATTCTGTTCTGTCTTACTATTCACTTACAGTCGTACGCCGCTTCCGCACAACACTTGTGTGCTAGTTCGGTGCAAGAATTGGTATTATATAGAAGGGTTTCCTTACGTGGGGGTTGGGGTTTCCAAATTGCTCTGGGAAATTCTTCATTCGCAAGAAAAATATTCGACCGTTGGCAGAATTTTTTTATTAATTCAAATCCTTCCCGCATTTATTAATTTTTTGGTTGGAAAATCCCTCCGTGTTTCGGGAAAAGAAAACGTGCTCATTGATGAATTTTTTATTATTTTTTTTAACGAGGCAATTTTTTTTGTCGTGGTCTATTTGGGGGTGAAATGATGCTTTCAATTTCACTCTCGTGATGAAAAAAATTGTTAATTAAGCCCTTGTGGCGAGATTTGATAGCAATTGAGATCCAAATCCAAACTTTCGTTAGTTTTCCATAAAATAAACTCATGCGACTATCACGTGGATGTGTCAAATTCGTTATTTCACTCCAAATTGTATATTATGTCATGGACATCTAGTTTAACTGAAATTGACGTGGTTTTACAGGTTTAGTTTCACCTTGCGACGACGTTCAAGCTTCTTTTTTGGGAAATACAATTTCAGTTAAAACCTAAGTTATACTAGATCCACATGGCATACGTGTTGTGCCTTGGCCCGTTCATTAGTGCGGAAACGAGATTCAGATTACAACCTCACCAAAATCACACTCAGTTGAACAGAATAAATTACAAGAAATAAAGACACCGAGAAATTTATGAGGTTCGGCAAAAACCTGCCTACGTCCCCGGAAATATATTGCTCTTCACTATGAGAATAACAGTACAAGTACACATGAGTTAAATCAACATAACCCAATCCCGAATCCCTTGCACACCCACTCATAGAATTTTCCCAAGAGCATCACTCTACCCCAAGAGTTCTTTCACTAGAATATTTTTCACTCTAGCTCTCTTGATTTTCTCTCAACCCATGTTCAACCTTTCCCATGGGAGAGTTGAATGCTCTCCCCCTTTGGATGCTCTCTGATGCCTTCTCAGGAGAGAGCCGAATTCTCTCTCTCACACCCTTTGTGTATGAAAAATGCCTTCACTTATAGACATGCACCATCAATTATGTCAACAACCAAAACATGATTCCACAAAACATGCTTCCACAAAACATGATTCCACAAAACATGCTTCCACAAAACATGCTTCCAAAGTCCACAAAGTTGAGAGGAAATGGTTGCCAACTCATAATTATATGAGCCAAACACAACAATACGAAGTAATTTGGATTGAAATGACGAATTTTGCCCCTCCACGTGAAAGTCATGTGAGTTTGTTTAATGAAAGACTAATGGAAGTTTGAGTTTGGACCTCAATTGCTAACAGACTTCACTACAATGATTTAATTAACAACTTTTTCACTACGAGGTGACATTAAAAGCGGCGTGTCACTGCAGAGACCATGAAAGTTTTTGACCATTTTATTATTTAAAAAGAAAAAACCGTTTCCTATTTTATTAGTGCTCTACTTACTACCGTCTCCTTAGTCCAAATAACATTGTTTGTTCAACAAAAAAAAATATTATAAATTCATAATAAGGAAAACTAATCAAAAGGGTTTGAAAATTTTAACTTTTAACAAAAAACCACATTGAAAGTTTATTTAATGGTTAGTACAAATCCCATTTTTATATCAACCCAAATACAATAGCCCAGACTAAATAACATAGTGATTTGTCAATTTTACCCCTAACGGATGTGGTTAACCTAATTTAACTATTCTGTTAGAGTAGTCAGTTTGGGGTTAGCCAAACCTATAAACTAATTGAATTTTAATTTTTTGCATACCAGTTTCAAAGAGATTTTCAATTTTTTATGAAAATGAACTAAAACACCATATTTGACACACCCCATCCCGAAGGAGGGCATGCTGGCCGTCACGTGAGAGTGACGTAACCATTTGCACAGTACGGAAGCTTTAATTATACAGTTTATAAGTTGATACACCCGAAGGTGAGTCCTAATTTTGTCCAATCTGTCAGAACACCGTAGAATTCCTCGTAGTCACCACACCTCAGCAATCTTGAACCTGGAGGGGCGCAAAACCAAAATTGAGTGGGTCAGTAAAACAAATCTTTTCAAATCCAACTTTTCTCAATACATTGTAACCCTTCTCCGTAAAACTTGTATACTTTCCCAGAAATGTAAAATATAAATATACATATATAATCTCAAAACTTCAATTCACTTTTTCAACATTTTTCATATCAGTTATGCCATGCCATGTCTAAATTCAACAGTATAATATGAATGCATCAACATAAATCAGGTGAAAGAAAATAATCAACCGGAGACCCTACAATGGTCCTGTACGGTTGAATCTAGAGCTCAAAATATCATCTAACCGGAGTCACCAACTGTGACCTGTACGGCCATGTCGGAGTCACCTAGTATGACCTGTACGGCACTACACTGCACATAAGTCGGAATTACCTAATGTAATCTGTATGACTTAATGGTGTAATAATATGCTCTAGTGCTTTTCTCATAAATCATCTGTGCACATAATCTAAGGTCACCTACCAGTCGGAACCCCTCTAATGGTCTATACGATTGGCATGTCGGAACCACCCCCGGTGGTCTGTACGACTAGCATCTACTTGGATCCAAGGTGAGCATGCGATGCGGTGAATAATAATAAGCACTAATACCAAGGTGCAGGTTATGAGCTCAATATATCTCAACATCATCATAGCAGTAATATACTCACCTGATACTCACCTGTGCGTCCACAGCACCAATTCATACATGCATCATATCTCAATTCATACTTTTCATATCATTTCATGCATGGCATTTCGATTCACATTTCTATATACTTTTCACATACTTCTATGCATGGTATTTCAACTAATATATCTCATATACTTTTATACATTTTCATTTAAAGCATAATTTCATGCATTTTCAATTTATGGGAAAACGGCAAGTATATATGTATACGGAAAACAAAACTGCCCACTCACCTGGAGTTCGCCCTACAACTCCCTAGCACAATACGCCAAGGCGTCATGACGATCGGCGCCTAAAACAATAATCAATTCCAACCTTAGAATTCATATCGATAGAATATATAACTTATATAAAATACGTCACTACGTAGTTCGATCCGGAAGATCCACCACTCGGATTTTAAATCCATAACTTCCAGAGGTCCACAATATATCTCTAGGATAACCTCCTAAAATTTCATTACCATCCAACGGTCGGATCTCCGTCAATTAACAAAACTAGGTGACGGTTAACATTCTATATTATGGACTTACAACTCCAATTTCGGAAGATCCGCAAATCGGATTCCCAATCTGTAAGTTCCTATAATCCTCAAATATTACGTATTACAACGTATCAAAGTTTGGTGACGATCCAACGGTCGGATCATTAATTCACATTTTCACCTAATGCGAAAACTATAAAACGTTATTCGAACACCTAACCAACAATCCTTAATAACTTTCTCATACGGTGCTCAAATTGGGTATATGAATATACCACAGTGATCTACTTGACGTCACGGACGTCGACATATTTTTAAAATAATTTTTTTACTGTAGCACGCGCTCCCACGCGCCAAGGAAGGAACGGACCTACGCGCCCCCACGCGCACCTTCTTCTTCCTTGGGTCGCCGGACTGGTTTTTCCGGCGGCCGTTTTTCAAATTGCCATAACTTTGTAATTTGTCAACGAAATCAAGTGATTCAAAAACGAAAGTTGTAGCCCTTGAAGAGACAAAGAGAATGGTACCTTGAACAACACCTAGTTCGCCGTGGTTTGGCCGGAAACTGCCTCGAAAGCCTCGGAGGTCGCCGGAAACTGGGTATTTTTCAAATGAGTATAACTTCTTCAATACTCAACTAAATTGAGTGAAACAAAAAGGAAAGTTGTAGTACTTGACGAGACGAAGAGATTGATACCTATCTCGACTCCTAACTCGCCGGATATTCGCCGGAAAATGCCTCGAAAGCTCCGGCCAAACTTTGAACTTGTCGATCTCCGTGTTCTTACGTCCAAAAACTTCCAACGAAGCACTCCGAGCTTCCTTGGGACCTCACTAAGCTCGCTGTGATCTTGTTTTAGCCTAAATCGTAACCATTTAAAAGATCATGAACAATACATAAACACGGGACCTTAAAAACTAGGGTTTTCCGAAGCAAAACTTACCTGAAATGGATACCATCGTGATCGTGAAGTCTTCAGGGTTCCAATGGTGGTCTTAGATTCGTCGTTGGTATAGATTTAGGGTGGTTTTGTGGTGGTCCGTGTGAGTTCGAAGGAGAGGGAGAGAGAACTGAGAGTCTCGTGAGGGAGGAGAGAGAGAGAGACAATGTTACGGGTTATGGGGAGGGTTTTGAGGTGTGGGGATCCCACATGTCCAACCCAATTCCAATTTCATAAGTTTCAACATAAAAATCCAACTTAAGCCTAGTTTAAGTTCCTAAAACCAAATAACTTAGGAACTTTAAGTAAAACCAATTGTTAAATTTTCGCCCCTTAGTCCCGTTTAAGGGCATTTTCGTATTTTCACGTCCTCGGAATTAAAATTCTGGGACGGGCTGTGACAATATTGATTCTGAATCCATACTGTTTATCAAACAGAAACAAAAAAACTACACTATTTATCAAACTATACTATTTGTTGAATGTATAAATTATTAACAGAGAATCACACTAGTTCGTGTAATAACGTAATATATGTTTATACTCGTTCGTGAATGCATCCCATATTTTACTATTTCCTTACATTTCAATTCTATTTACAAATGAAGAAAATTGTAAACTATTTCGTAAACACTGGTTATTAAACTTAAAAATTGTGAACTATTTTGTAAACACTGTCTATTAAACCAAAACACCGCTGGAATAGAATGTTCATTATATTTAAATTATTTAAGCAAATAAACCAACATATGAGGGCAAGAAAATACTATTTAAAGGTTATAAGAAAACGAGCAGTTATCAAAGTGAAGTAAAAATATACCATTTTGCAGAACATTGCTCATTCAATGAATTCGAAGCATGCAAACTTACATATTACTGTAAAATCACAGAAAATATCAGAAATTTTGTGGTACGTACCTTTGTTTCTTCTATGTTGCTTTTATTTCCCAATTTTTTTGTGTGTTTTCGTCTGGATGTAAATCATAACTCTGAACCAGAAACATAATTCATTTTTTAGAATCTCAAACATGCAAATGTACATATTTAGTAAATTAAAGTAAGAAATCATCAAGAATATCAGAAATTATAGGTTCGTACCTGTGTTTGTCCAATTTCGACTTTGCAAACATACAGTTCGAATGTTTTTAGTTTTTCATCTTCAAATGGAGTTTTTGGGTTGAGAAATTCCGGATTTGATGTGTAGATTATTGTTTGAAAACTTGAATCGAACTTGAAAATGCTTTGAGATCTTGACGTTTCGAGCAATGGAGGTTTCGATTTTTTGGTACGGTGTGAAGGGGTTGGTAAACATTAATGGCGTTGCGAGGGATGATGAATTTTAGTAACTGCAACTTTCGCTAACGGGCTTGGGTTAGGCTCCGTTAGGGGCAATTTTGGAATATTAATTGTTATGCGGTTTGGGCTTTTTGGTGAGCCCGTGTGTTTTAGTTTTTGTAGGGCTTAGAAAAAATGTTTTGTGTCCTTATGATTAAAATTTAAGCTTTTTTTATTAAATAATAGTTTATGGTGGTTTTCCATTAAATAAAAGTTAACCCAATTCATTTTTATTAAAGCTCTATTTATAATATTTTTTTTACAGAAATTAGATGGAAATATCCTTAATTGACTAACGTAGATAAAAACAAGGATCAAATTGGTCAAATTAAAAACACATGAACTAAATTGATCCAATAATTAAAACACAAGGACCATTTTATATTTAAACCAAAAGAGTAATAACAAAATCAAATTTTAAGGTCATTCTATTCTGATAAGAACGACTTTTGCGGTTGAAGTTCGTATGAAAAAAAGGGGTAACTAAACATTAAAATTTGAGACTAATACGTTTCGAAAAGACCGAACGTGTGCAACGTCTAAGAAACGCCACACGTGCGGTGCATTAGGAATGCGATTCAGGTGGCCAGAAAAAATCCCAAATTTACGACTTTACCTCACACTGCTTCTCTCCATTAAGCAGCTCTCTCCTCCTCACCACGACAGAAGGCAGACCAAAGAACATGGAAACACACGAGGACGAGATCGACAACCACGACACCACCGCTTCCTGGACCTCCGCCACAACCTGGACCGTCGCAGGCGGTTCCCTCACGAATTGCGTCTCATTCGAATCCTCTTTCTCTCCGATCGATGACGAGACTCCGAAATCCACCCCTGCATCCTCTCTTATCCTGCACCCTCCATCACCCGATTCGGGCCCTTGCGAGATCACCGGTATGTTCCACAACTTGTTTTCTCTGAAAACTTTACATTTGGGCCCCAAATTTATTGAATTTGAGCCTTAACCCCCTGATTGTATGAATCCTTGTCCCTTTATATTATTATTGTAGGTTAGGAGCTTGAATAGTGCTATTAAGAGTTTGATTAATAATTTCTGGGACCAAAGTGGATTTTCAATTAGGATTAGGATTGCCTAATTATTAGAACCACGAAGATGAAACGAAGCTAATTAGAGGGCCAATCTTGTACTCGAAAAAGAAGATAAAAGCAGGATTTTGCAGTGTAGTATGAGTTCAACTAGATAATATTTGCGAAAAGCGGCATTTGGTTGCTAGAAGTGGAAGTAATATCTGTTGGAGTACAAAATTTACCAAGTGGGGTCGGCTGTATGAACCACTGCGCAATTTACTTAGTACATGCTATTGTAATCAATAAACACCCCGTATAAAATGCATCAAAGACTCTTTAGTAATGAAAAAAGAATAAACAAATGGTTGAAGTATGAGAGAAACAACTTACTTTTATAGTCTGATTGCAAATGACCAACAATGTTTTCCACTGCAGTTAATTTTACACAAAAACATGAGGTCCAGCAGGTTTATGTTCGAAGTACTGCCCGAGTCTATGAGATATACTATGCACCCGATATACAGAGTGGCAATGAATATCTCTGCACTGTTCGCTGTGGCATTGCTGCCCGAGATGAAGAAGTGCTTCACACGGGTGACAATGAAGATGTTCGTTCTGCAAATTCAAATGGGTCGCTGAAGGACCCATCCGAAGATAAGTCAAGAAATGGAAATAGTCTGAACAGCAGTGAAGATGACTGGGTTGAAGTGAAAGTCTCAGATAGTAATGTGCTTGATAACAAAATCAATTCGTTGCAATCGAATTTGGGATCTGCACAGGTATGTTGTTTTTCTCCATCGAACCCCCTCCCACTTTGTTTTTCTTCTGTTTCTTTTTTTTCCTGTCTAGTCAATTTCTTTATATGGTGCTCCTTTTGCTTGTGCCCACATTTAATTATGTTTTTGGCCATCATCCCTTTACGAAGAAACACTAAGACACAAGTTTGAAAATTGAGAAGCCTGTGTTCTGGAGTCTGGACCCTGTGTGCGCCATGGTGGTTGAGAGGACAAAAAATTTGTATTTATGAGTGCAATTTCCTTTGCATTGTTCTTTGGCCAATCTCTTTTGCACTTTTCCAAGTTAATAACATATCATTACTGGTTCAACGCTTCTTCAGATACTTCTTGCAATTGTTAGTGCCCCTTCTGTGCTCGTATTTGCGAGGAGAGGGGGAAGGGGAGGAGAGAGAGAGTTTTGGTGATAATGGGCTGGGTAGTCTAAACGTGAGGGCACTAATCTATATTGATTATTATCTTTGCTGATCAAGTTCTTGTGTGTGTATCAGGATTTTTATGAAGCTACAGCACAGATTAGTGATGCAAGTCCTTGTGTATCCCTCACACTTCGTCTACTGTCGCTTGAGAGGAAAGATTGTGTATGTGTTGGTGAGGTGTATGTATTTGCTGATCCTGTTGATACATCTGATTCAGAAAACCAAGTTAATACTGTGGAAAATTCGGTTGGGAGTTCTCTCATGGCCATGCTTGTGCCTACTCTTTTACAATTTTCTAAAACAAGGGGTGCTAACGGAACACAAGACAAGCCAATTTCTGATACATGGGGAAAACAGAACTCTCTAGTGATTGGGTCAAAAGAAACTGATTCTACCAGTGTGACAACTAAGATTCAGGAGCAAGGAAAAGCCAGTATACCTGATCACCAAGAACAAGAAGTAAAGGTTCCAGATGTTAATAGGGCTACTACTAGTACTGCTCAGTTATGTATCCCGTCACAAGTTGAAAGCTCTGTCAACCAGCTGTATTCTCGAATGGGCAGAATAGAGGATCTATTTTTAAGGTTTGAAGAAAAGATGCTAAAACCAATGAGCAGCATTGAGGCAAGGCTTGAAAGGGTAGAGCAGCAACTTGAAGTACTGGTAAACAAATCGCAGAATTCTGGATTGCCAACATGCTCAAGATTCTATGCTTCTTCTTTCTCGTGCAATGAGTCTGAGTCTAACTCTTTCTATAATAGTGGAAATGATTATCCCCGTTGTGAGGCATTTGAATCAGGTAAGAAGGACATTCAATCAGATGCACCCTTGACTGCACCTAATGACATGTCTGCTTCAGTATATTCTACTCATTTGCTTCCAAGTCTGGTAGTAACTGCTCCTGAATTTTCAAACGGTGATGATGACGATGAGGAGGACGAAGAAGATCATACATCAGATGTAGTGATAGGTTCATCAGAAAAACCAAGGCCTGCTTTGACAATTGATGATGCTTTAGCATCTGCACTAGCTGGATTCATGTCTTTGACTTCAACCCAACCAGAGAAACATGCTCAAACTCTTTCGGTTAAAGCTCCTGATTTTTTAAATGAAGAAGATGGTAGCATTGAGAGAAAAGAATCAACAAGAGTGGAACATGAAGCAGACACTGATTCTTCCATGTGCCTTGGTGAAACTGGTGTGACAGAGAACATAAAAGGTTCACTTGCTGATTTGACGAAAAATTCTTCAGAGGGTGAGGGGAATGTAATAAAATCACCTAATGATGAGGAAACTGATAAAACACTCTTAGTCGATGGACTGGACCAGCATTATGAGGGTGGAGAAGGAGGAAAACTTGATGATGACAAGAGCATTGACAATGCAGTTGATCCAGCCAATGGTGGCATGTCTAGAACTGATTTTTGTCAGATAACAGAAGATATTGAAAATGAAGACATCAGCACTGAGATACGCAACATTCTGGACCCTGACAACGCTGATGTTCGAACCAGTTGCCCCAACATCAGACTGATGATGGATATGATAACACGCAGGAAGATGCTAATACAGATTCTGATTTAACGCCTCCAAAGGAAGTGACAGAAGAGAAATCCGACAAAGATGCTTTGAAGAATATCCTCGATTTTTCACATGCTGCTTCTGTGGTGGATTTTGATATTCCAGTTCTGGATGTGAAATTCACTTCTCAGGATAGCTGCAATAATGGCTATTTTTCTCTCGAAGCCCTTTTAACCGAGTTGCCAGAATCAGTGACCGAAGCTCCTTCGGTAAAGAAAAGTGACGAGGTGCTCCCAGTTGGCTCTGACGGACATGACTTAATTTTGGTGGAGGACAGGGAGCCAGTTGGTCCCGCCTCTGAGGGTAATTTTTCTGTGGATATGGATTTCTATAGTATCGGAGAACCTTTGAGCTTGTGGGGTGACCAGACATGCAATAGCCATGAGACATTTGCAGCAAGTCTCATTTGATAGTGCATAAGTTTGTTCACAACTTTGTTGCTATGTACATATATTTGATTTGAGCTAGACGTAATGTACTGATTGTTTCTTTTCTCCTCTCCTTCATTACTCACAAACCAAAGCTGAGAGGCACATTTGGACGGGTGGGCAAGGTGCGATTGGTTCGGATTAGGATTCAAACCGCGGACCGCGGACCGGGGTTGGGATAGTTTCGGTTTATGCATCAAACTAGTAGAATAAGCGTACCAAATGCATTATGCATCTATCTAGTCATAAGTGGTTTGGTTTGATTTGGTTTGTTCGGTTTTCTTCTTTTAGTAATTAGGAAAAATGGAGAGAAAAATGACATCAAATTCAAATGGCATCTAAAGAGCTTTAAATAATACAAATAAATCTTAAGCGGACCTTTTCAACACTCATTTTTGTTTTATAACGTTGCTTGAGAACCGTCTAATTTTTACATTACTCTTTGAAGATCAACTATACAAAAATTCAACCAAATTAGAAAATATTTAACTGTTTGATTGATGTTATCAAAATTTCAGTTAGATTTAAATAATGACCGGTATTAAATAGGCGCACACGTTTTACCCGTATTGATTAAGTCATATGACTTTGTTAGACCTATCTTCAATCCTTATTGAACTTGGCAAAGAACATGTTTTGCCAACTCATAATGGCAAATGGTGCATTAATTTGACTGCACTCGAATTCAAACTCTCTTTAACTTGTTTAATCTAATTTATAGCAATATTAACGCTTGTAATAATATTTTTTTTTAATATGTGTCATGATCCAAATGTGCCTGTCCCATGTGTACACCTTCCCTTCCATCAGATCCCAAAAATTAAAAATAGAAAACGAAAAAAAAAAAATGGAATAAAGGAGAAAGGGTAGCATATTAGCAATATTTCCTTCCACAATTTTCTGAAATTTGAAAATACACAGCGGTCAGTTGGCCGCTTGTGGAGAGGTAAAGTGGAGTACTTGTCTGTTGAACTTTAACACTGAGAGCGTATCTACAGTTCAACTGCTCGGCTAAAACCCTTTTTGTTTCTTGAAATTCTAGGGTTAGGGTTTTTGGGGGAAAGACCAGAATGGAGGCTGCCGTGGTCGACGTCGGCTCCAAGCTCCTCAAAGCGGGATCCGCCATTCCCGATCAAGCTCCTTCCATGGTAATTGTCAAACCGTATGCTCCACTTTCTTGGTCTCGTTTCGTATATTCTGTTTGGTTGCTCAGAAAATGCTTTAGGTTTTTTTTGGGAAAGATGGAAATTGCCAAATGTGTGAAAGTTCTTTTGGGAAAGATGGAAAATTCCAAATATGTGAAGGTTTGGGCTTGTTTGTTGGTTTCCTATTGCCAGCTAGGATTTGTTTTGATTTCTTAAAGTCGGAATTCTAATTGGGAAATGTACTAGCAATGGCTTGGGGGTTGGGGGGAGGGGGTAGAATCTGTTTGGTTTCTGGGAAAGTTGTGAGAAAGAGAAGGAAAATTGTAGTTTTTTTGTAGCTCCAATCAATATTACAGCAGAATAATGACTTCATATGTGAGGGTCTCTGTTTCTTTTGCATCCGTGGCATGGATATCCTCTTGTTGTTGCTCATCAGTTGTTAGGAGAAAAGAATGCGATTTTTCTCACGGTTATCCTCTTGGGGGAAATGAAACTTTGTATGGTTGTGTTAGGGTGAGTTGAGTAGACGACTGTGTAACTCAAGTTTGAGCTCTGAAGACTATCGTCATGCATATGCACCCGATTGTTAAAATAACCCTTTTTGATATTGGTATGATGGGAATGTTAATATATCTCAACTTTCCAAACTACATATTCAAAAACTGAAGTTGGCATGGTAATTGTGGATTGTCACATTTCCAATTGCTTCTTACTTTTCATTTCCCTCCCTCCCAACAATCTCCTCTTATCACATGTATATATCCCTCCTCCTATCTTACTTTCAAGTTTTTAACCCTTATGAAGTTGCACATAAATGATGCCTTTGCACACCATTTTCCAGCCCAACAATATTAAAAATATATTCCAGAACCGAAGATGAAAAACAGTTGATTCTTTCTATCATAAACAATGAATATGCACATCATTTTACTTTGTATTCTAGTAAAATTTTGTGTTCGTGGAAGTTGTATATGTCCCAGATAGAGAAATTGATATTGACCTTTGCAAATACTTATTAATTATTGTATGTGAAAGACTATTAGTATTCAGTTTCCAGCTGATTTGGTCTCTATCCAATTTCAAGGTAATTTGGGCTTGATATGTGCTCAACTTTTCAACTAATCCATGATTGTTGGGAAGTCTGAGGAAAAGAAAATCAATCAAATAGTGAATTTCAGGTCATGGTTGGTCTTTATTCTGCAAAAAGAGATAAACTTTTGATTTCAAAACAACAAAGGTGGATGTTTTGAAAAGTAAAGTTTTGTTTTAACTTTTAACTTGAATATTGAATCAGAAAGAAAATTTTCTTTCTTTGGAAACAAAGACCAACATTTTTTTTTTGGACTTGACCATGAAAATCATTTCTATCTGAAATTACATATCTGGAAAGGAAGTGGTGAATCACTTATGCTAAATTTAATGGTTGCATTGTACACAATGAAAATCCGATTTGGCTAACCCAGTAGTAGGTGATGAATCAACGTGATTTAATACTGATTTCTTTCTTTTTTTGTTTTTCATTAACGTTTGTCGTCTGTCATATGTTTCAGATAATTCCTAACCAAATGAAACAGCTTGATTTTGGATCAATGAATGATACTTCATCACTTGAAGATATCGTTGTTGATCCAGTTGTGCGAGGTCTTATTACTGACTGGGATGCCATGGAAGACCTGTTGCATCATGTTCTATATACTGGCCTTGGATGGGAAATGGGCAACGAAGGGCAGATACTATTTACTGATCCACTTTGTACTCCCAAGGTTAGCTACTATGCTTCTTTCCGAACACTCTTTATTAATTTAATATAGACCAGACTGGTAGCATTATGCAATACTTTGCTGAAAATCCATGTACAGTGGTTATTTTCACGGTTTTTAATATATTTTTGTATAGTTTAATTTAACATGTCAATCGATTATATGTTATATTGTAGTCTAGGCTGGTTCCATTGAGCACACTAAGTTAAACTTTCAGATATGATTTTATAATTGTTCTTACCAGTATTCTTGTTTAATTATACTTGAAAAAAAAATTCTACAGCCTCAAGTTTGTGTTTTGTGAATCAGTTATGTTGTTGTTGCACAGTGTTAAATTTATCTTTCTGACATTATTTCACAAGAGATAAAAATCTTGTAGGGAGGAGTAAGGAAGCCTTGTTATCTCTCTTGGAGAGAAAAATCCTAGAAATAGAACTTGCTCTTCATAATTCCTTTTTGTCTTAGTGCAGATAATATATTTTCTCTAAAGAAAAATTAAAATAATTTTTTTTTCTGCCAGTCTGTCAGAGAGCAGTTGGTGCAACTTATGTTTGAGACATTTAACACTTCAGGCTTCTATGCATCAGAGCAAGCAGTATTGTCACTTTATGCTGTTGGACGTATCTCGGGATGCACTGTTGATATTGGCCATGGAAAAATAGGTATATACACCTTGCAGAAGGGAACCTTTATTAGTGGAATCTTGTGTATTGAATACATAATTTTTTTGAGCTATTCTTTCGTTTCTATACTGCAGGCCAAGTTTTTTGCAATCTAATAAGTCTATATATTCAGAATTCATTTTATCCTGTCTAGCATAAAACCAGTCGTTTGACCACCTTCACTATACAAACATTCATTTTGTTTAAAATTTATAATCTTTTATTATATTACAGATCTTGTAATATTAGAACGAAATATATTATTGATAGTTGATAGCTATCCCAAGCTATAACCATCTACATAGTGTGCATTGGGTGACCATATGATGATAATGGTCATGAAAGATGCACTGGTAGCTGAACTAAAGGGGGCAAGTTTTAGTTAACACATCTGACCTGTTAATGGCATTGACTCATCTCTGTGCAAACAGTTAGTCAATATGGGATATGAAAATGTAAGCAAACTGATTGCTTTTTCATTTGTGCCTTTTCTGTATTTTGGCCAATTTTTAACAGATATTGCACCAGTCGTTGAAGGTGCTGTTCAGCACATTGCCTCAAGAAGGTTTGAAATTGGAGGTACTGATTTGACAAAATTACTTGCTCAAGAGCTTGGGAAATCTAATCCTTTAGTGAATATCAAGATGTCTGATATAGAGAAAATAAAAGAGCAATATTCATGTTGTGCTGAAGATGAACTTGCTTATGAAAAGACCAAAAATTCATGCCAGATAGAGCAACATACCCTTCCTGATGGACAGGTATGGTTCATTGTTCGAAATTTTGATTGGGATAGATGGAGAAGACACAGATATAGGCACATAGTTGTTTGGCATGTTTCAGCTGAGGATACATTGACTTCAGAATATCATATTATGCCTGTAGTTTGCTATTATTTATGATGTAACTTGCTTGCACTTATCGCAGTTATCTGGTTTTGTTTGGTGTCAATCTATTATGTGTTAATAATAAATGTATAATGAGTTTATTGAAAAGTTATCCTCACTAAAATCTTCTCCCATCTTAAATGTTGAATACTAAAAATAAGATCTAGTATACATTCAAACACTTCTATCCTTTAGATATATTTTTTTAAGGTGGATTCTTTTTTATCTCTACCTTACGTTTTCCTTTTTATTCTTCGATATGTAAACGCAAGATGACAGCAATCCCATCCCAAGGCATTTCGGTCACAGTTATTGTCATAGCCATCTATTTATGTTCCCCAAACCTTCTTTCCCACCCCCTTTTGTTTCATCATTCTGCTTTTTCCGGTATAGTTATTATGGTTTACATGTATAATAACTTTATGTGATACTGGTCATTGGTTTAGGTCATTAGGATTGGAAGAGAAAGATATACTGTTGGTGAGGCTTTATTTCAACCATCCATATTGGGTTTAGAGGCTCATGGAATTGTTGAGCAGCTTGTTCGTTGTATTTCAACAGTATCGTCTGATAATCATCGGCAGTTGCTGGAAAATACGGTACTGTGTGGTGGCACCATTTCTATGATTGGTGAGTACAGTAATTAATAACTAGTACGATATATTTTCTTTTTCTTTGTTTTTTTCCTTTTTTCTTCTCTTGAATACTCTTGTTAGACGAATTTTTGTGTACATCTCTGTGAGCCCTTTCTTTGGTTGGTTTATTATCCTTATCATCCTTATCGTTTTATTATCCTTATCATCCTTATCGTTTTTAACAAAATGGATTCACCAAGTTTTGGGAATCCTTGGGTTCAGAGTTCCTTTTAGATGATTCTTCTTTGGAAGTATATTACAGTGCAAGGCAGCAGATTTAAGAGCATGGTGAAATTTGAATTTGTCCTTGTTTCAAAAGAAATAGGAAATTTTGGTTTTTTTTTTGTTTTTTTGTTTTGGTTTTTTTTTGTTTGTATTGGTAGCCGACATTCACCTATCCCAGACCCTGCGTAAAGCGGGAGCCTTGTGCACCGGGTACGACCTTTTTGTATTGGTAGCCGACATTCACCTCTCCCAGACCCTGCGTAAAGCGGGAGCCTTGTGCACTGCGATGGCAAGTGCCTTCGCCCATGAGCTAGGTCTCGGGTTCGAGACTTGGGAGCAGCCTCTCCATAAATGGGGGTAAGGTTAGCCGACATTCACCTCTCCCAGACCCTGCGTAAAGCGGGAGCCTTGTGCACTGGGTACGACCTTTTTGTATTGGTAGCCGACATTCACCTCTCCCAGACCCTGCGTAAAGCGGGAACCTTGTGCACTGGGTACGATTTTTTTATTGGTAGCCGACATTCACCTCTCCCAGACCCTGCGTAAAGCGGGAGCCTTGTGCACTGGGTACGACCTTTTTTATTGGTAGTTTGATTGCTGTTTATTTCAGGTTTTGAAGAAAGGTTTCAGAAAGAAGCTGGTCTATGCTCATCAGCCGTTCGTCCTGCTTTAATTAAGGTAATTTATAGTACCATTAAAACTGCAGTTGGGTTTTAGCTTCAGACTTCAGGGTGGGGTAGGTTTGTAGTTCAAATCTTCCACAACAACAACAACAAAGCCTTTTCCCACTAAGTGGGGTCGGCTAAGTTCAAATCTTCCCAGGCAAAAAATCTGAAAGTGGTTGGGTTAAATAGTCAACTTTCTTTCACATGGTTCCACGAGTCATTGCATCGTACCTATTTGTTTACTGTAATCAGACTGAACCCTGTATAGGAAGTGCAAATTCTTAGTAATCTTGATGAAATAAGCTTCCAAGGTAAAATTTGAGGTCCAGATACTCTAAATGTATTATAGTCGGTCTCCTAATTGTTTCTGAGGCTGTATACAGTTCACAGCCCAGAGGTTGTGTTGGTTACTTTTATGGCATTTCCCTATCTTATTTGCTACACGTGAACGAGTGATCATAATGTCTTATTGGTTCATCTATTTTTCATAAAACTTTGTACTCATGCACTCGTGGTTATATTTTCTTATTGCTACTGTTATATTTGATAGATTTTGTGCTTCAGCCTTGAACTTGTATTTAAAATGATTAACATGTTCATTGATTTGGAAGTGATTCTTGACATGAAGGCTTTGACTGGATATAAAAAAAGAAGTTTAAATTGATTGTGTAGGAAATTAATTAATAGAAATATTCTTAGTTGATTTGTTGCCGGTGTAGCTCTACTGGAAAAGTGCTATTACAACTTGGATTTGTAAAAAGGAATTGCATTGATCTGGTGTACAGTGAGCTGAATATTTGGATACGTTTGTTATTGCACGGTCTTGTAATTATATGCTTGAAATGTCTATACAGCCGTAGTGAACTATCGCATAAAGGATCGCTTAATTTTTCTTAATTTGTTCACCGCACTAATGTTAATTGTATTAAAGTCAACAAGGTAAGCAATCACTGATTCACTTTCTTAGCCGGACTGAAAGTTATGTGAGCAAGATACTTTGATTTACATAACTTTTCCGCAACACTATTTTTTGTGTAGTAACTGGACCGCCGGTTTCTTCTTCTGATTGTTTTTTTTGGGTGCGTGTTCAATGCAGCCTCCAGAGTATATGCCAGAGAATTTATCAATGTATTCAGCGTGGGTGGGAGGTGCCATACTTGCCAAAGTCGTGTTCCCACAAAACCAACATATAACAAAAGCAGATTACGATGAAACTGGACCTTCTGTTGTTCATCGGAAATGTTTTTGAGTATCTCTCGTCCGTAAAAGTTCTTGGAACTCTTGTTTAGTTTGATTAGCATACTTGTATTATAGTTGTTGGTAACGCTAACACAAGATTGTAGTCGATTAGTGTTTGATTTTTAGTATTTCAACGGACGAATCCATTAACACATCCAAGCGTTTTGGAAATCAAATTTAGAGATCTAGTTAAGGATATGTTTAGTAAGGGAGCTTCTGTTTTACATTCAACTTCATCCTATTCCTCATTTCATCTTGATGCATCGATGTAAACTCTCGAATAATGGATGGCGAAGACGTCGTTTAGGGATGCAAACCTTTTCTTCCGGGATTTACATGTCATTTTGCAATTTTTCAAGATTCTGGGTTCGCGACTTGGTCTGCAAATCGGCATAGAACTAATATAGATATTTCGATTGACCAAAAAAAAGTATAGATATTTCTAGTGTGGCCAGCCGAACAAGTGACTGCTCAGTCAGCAGTGACCCACTGAATGGCAAGATAACTGTTTGGCGCCCCAAGGCCGAACACTCTTTGCAACGAGATCTCTTGTTCAAACTCCTATTATTTTTACGTTACATAATCCTCTCTCTCTCTCTCTATATATATAAGGAACCCAAAAATGGACGAGTAAAATGTCTGGTGACTAGCAATGGGCGTGGCAGTTTCCTGTAGCCTTTGCTTGTTGCTGCACCGGAATTAACCGACGGACACGAGGGGAAAGAGGGAAGCCTACAATATTTTGGTTTCGATTCTGAACTGTATACGGTGAAAGTTCAGGAACCAATTTTATAGTTTACGCGTTAAACTAATTAAGAGCATGTTGGAGAAACAGTTCCGATACGGTTTAAACTGACATTCTCACACGAAGCTTGGGCAGTTTCATCGGCTAGAGGTTTTAGGTTTACGTCTTTCAACAAAAAT